TAAACTTCCTAGTAATTAGAGAAAATCTATCTTACCGGTACAAGTCTTGCCATTTCCTGTATAACCTGAATTACATGAACATGTATAAGATCCAGGTGTATTTTGACAGTTGGCGTTGGAATGACAAGCATTGAATGTACTACATTCATTTATATCTGTAAATCACAGGAACAAATAAGTGTTCTTTGAATATATCAGCTATCGATATGACTTTCGTGACTAATGCATTTGTGCACATATACACTGAAATTTGCATTTATTGAAATAAAAAGCTTCAGTAACATACCAGAGCATGTTTTTCCGTCTACGTTAAGTGAATATCCGCTTGAGCAGCTGCATTGATATCCGCCGATAGTATTATTACATAACATTTGACATGTATCTATCTTATCTGCACATTCATCCCGATCTATGGAATATTGGAAATTCAGTGGTTATAAGTAGCTTATAATCTCAATATTAGTCATTACATTACCACACAGAAAACGATTTTTATCAAGGCTTGATAATAGCGATAAAGATTACGATAACACTGAAAGATTATAAAACTCTCACAACCGTTACCTTTGCAACTAACGCCATCGGGCTGCAATATATATCCATTCTTACATGCACATTGATCTTTGCCGTTGATAAGAGTACAAGACTCAGAACAATTATTATTGCTACTACATGTGGTGGCCGCTACAATAAATTAGTCAAAAAAATACCCCTAAAATTAATCTATTGATTGTGTTATGAATAAATAAGTACACGTAACATATACCTTGGTATATTATAGGTTAAATATAATTAGAATTATAATTGCAAACAATCCAATACTATACGAAAATTTACGTTATAAGCTACTTCAAAGTCTTGGAAGGACATTTTCTAAAGGTCCTTTACGTGTATAGTAGAAAGGATATGCTATAATAAGTAAAATTTATAATGTACCTATGCAACTTTTATTATCGCTGTTGAGGTTAAATCCAGAATGACAAGAGCAGATATAACTGCCATTGGTATTGGTACAGATTTGGCCACATATCTGTGAGTTCTTGAAGCACTCATCAGCATCTATAGGTGTCAATAAAAATTTATGAGCACTAGTTTTGATAAGGTATCGAAAGATTAAATATTGGTTTATTCTGCATAAAAGACAATTGATTAATTATAAAATTTTATTGCTATAATTTAATTATAATTATTACACGCAAAAGTAAGAAATTAGCAAGATATAAATTTTACAAATACGTTACGATGCAGCACCGTAACCAAACATAGCATTGCACATATTACAGAGTAATATGTACCGCCTTAAATTAAACGTGCACAAGATATACTGTATATTCGTGTACAGCTTCGGAATTGGATAGAATTTAAATGCCTAAACTCTGCTAATCCTTTATTTGTTATGACTAGTCATCTTTCTTGCACAGATATATAATATGTTACTGAGATAAATCCTACCTAAGCAAGTCTTTCCATCAGCGTTTAATTGATAACCAGATTGACAATCGCAGGTATAGCCTCCGATGGTGTTGACACAGACTTGTTGACAGCTGTTTGTGGCTGAACTAGCGCATTCATCGAAATCAGAGCACAATATACCATCTCCTGTATAACCTTGTGGGCAACTGCCGCATGTATAACCGGTTAATGGAGCTACATTATCTGTACAAGTTACATTCTCGTAACATGGGAAATTAGCACAGCTATCAAAGTCGAAAGTGCAATGATCTCCGGTCCATCCATCCGAACAAATACATGGGACCTGAGATACGCTACCATCTTCTATGGTTTCTCCACTATAAGCAGAAGCAAAGCGTAGTTCAAAGTAACATAGTTATATTCTAAGATATGTAAATATATTTTTACTCTAACTAAATTAATGAATATGGTTAATAGCTTACGTGTAGTCGCAAGTTCCACCGTTAGCGCAATAGCACATGATAATTTGTGCAGGACTGTAGATACTGGCTGCGTTCTTAGAATCTTTGGCCACGATTTGGATGCTAATATTGGTGTAAGTACTAACATTCCAAGTAAATTGATAACTTGTAGGATTAAATGATGCACCTGGAGGAACGCTATCTGCAGTAACAGTCACAGTATCGCCAGTATTAGGATCAGACACGCTTAATGCTGTAGTGTAGACTTCTCCAAAGGTAACATTTAGTGTAGTAGGTCCAGTAATAACAGGTGGGAAATTTTCTGTTGGAAGACAAAATCAGTATACAGTAATACCATTTAAATATATTAATAAAATTGCTAGATGATTACAGAAGAAATTAAATAATTAGAAAAAATGATGAGATATTTTACCTGCTTGATTTTCCGCTTCTTGGTAGCCGTCAGCTGTATCTTTACCTTGTACAGCTAATTCTACATTTAGAGTTTGACTAGCATCATACAAGCATGGGATATTGTTACCACATGAACTTAATGCTTGTTGATATAAGTCATTATCGCCACCGAATAAGGCAGTAATATTATCCGAAAATAGCGGTAGAAAGTCGGGATCCGTGAAGTTTTGATATGTTGTTCCAGGAGGATAAGTGAATAATGATTGAGTTTCATTAATTTTCCCTAATAATAGTAAAACGTAAAAGTATCATAGTGATGATTCAAAATACTTGTTTTATTTTGAGTTGTAATATGAAATTGTAGAATTACTATGAATTGAGATTAAAACTTACATTTCTCTCCGAAATCATAATAAATTTCGAATTCAGTAGCATTAATTAAAATCTTACTGCCATCGGGACGTGTAAAATCATCGTTCATATTGCCGTTCCATACACCAAGCAAACCCTTAGAATTACCTTGCAAAGAAGCTGGAGCGTTGACTGCTATACTGATTAGACCAGGTAAGACAGTGACTTCTAAGCTGGTACCCGATGAAAACGCAACAACTAACGATCCATTTTGAGATAGGGCTAAGTCGACGTTATTATATTCACGAGTTTCATTTTGACTTAAATCGTTTAATGTTAAAGGTATGTTGCCATTGACGAGAATATCTAGGCCGTTATTTTGATCATTGAGTGTTGCTTGGATAACATCTGAATTATTCTGCTTAGCAGCAAAAGCCGAAAATACGGTAGCTTTAGCTGAACGTGTACCATTAATAAGAGCTTGAGATGTTCTAGCCTGTACGTCAACATAATTATTTTGTAAATTGAGTAGTTGGTATTCTCCTAATCCGTTAAACGTGTATTGTTTTCCGTCCATAGTTCTAATATGAGGATCGCCCCAGAACCAGGCTATAGTGTAAGTAAATTTTAATAAAATTAAATTCGATTAGAATTGATCATGAAATTAAATGAATGTACTTTGAGTTCAAATAGATCTAATTAACGCTTAAATAGGTGGATAATCTTAATATTTGTATGTGTAATTTTACTTGACCTATATCACAAGTTATTTATAGTCTTCCTAAAACTAGCTGATAGACTTGATATGAAATAAAAGCTAAATCTCTAATGGTGTATTAGCAGACTATAAGAATATCACTTGAATAAATGAATGTAAATTTATTGTCTAACTTACTTCTTCTTGGTGGTCGATAGCCTCGACAAGTACCGCTATCTATAGGAAACATAATCGTGAATTGATACAACAATTCTGATAGGCCTCTTTATCTGTATCTCGTAATTGTTTATTGGCATATGTTAGAGTTCCACCGCTAGGCGATCCAGTAATTAAAGCTCCGAAACGTCGGAAATTAGTTGTATAACAGCATACACGATGCATCTAAGTCCAACAAATATTCCGTTAAATTTAAATATAATCACCAGTTGATTTACTAATTATTCTTATATTATATGAAAATTATCGGCTGTTAGAGATAGTATAATATTTATCGGAGAAAATCTTAACTTACCCTCGTGTTACCTCCACCTTGTGTTGGAGATGAAAATCTAGATTGTGCGCAAGGATAACGTGCTACACTACCCCACCAGTTAAATCGACGATCAAACCATACTTGCCACCAAGTACATGGACATGGTGAAGGCATATATCGATTATAGTACGAGATATGATTCTGCTGGTAGTACCATGATAAACATTTCTGTACGTAATTAATGTGGAAGGTATCAGGATCTAAACGGAATGCCCATTTACCAGTCATGCCAGTATTTCCAAGTAATGAATCAATCTTGAGAATATTACGATAGCCAGATAAAGCAATTTCATGATGGATATTTGTACTGCCCGTGATATATCCAACGCGAGCACGTAGACCGTAGAATCTTCTCCACCATTGCATTCCGTTAACTTCATAGTTATATAAGGCGAAAGTATTCTCACCATTGCTAACCAAGACTAATTGGAAGGTGTTGGTCTAATGATAGAAGTTCATAAGAGATGTTTTGTTCAGTATAATAATGACTATTCAAACTGTCATTATCTGTACTATGCACTAAATTATACATAACATAAAATTACTATCATTACAAGTACGATAAAATTGATACTTACGAAGCCGAATCTACCGTAATAGCTGGCAGGATAAGGTACCATATCGGTCCAAGTAATGACAACAACATGTTTGGCATTAAAATTATTAACAGTATGATGATAAAGGCCGAATTTGGCTTTCAATTGTGAGCTTGTCCAATTACTATGAAGCTTGAGTTGTGATTGGAATTGATCAACATCGGTTGTAGCTCGACTAAGGATCGATTGAGACGACGTAGAGCTATCAAAATTACTATATTCATGGTAATAAACACGGGATTTTGTATTATAGTAATGTCTCATATCGTTTCCGCTGAAGAATGGTGCCACCAGTGGAATGTTGTAATAACGGAATGATGATGGATAATAGTAGCAATGCGAAAAATGGAATGTGACATAACCACTGGAACAGATCTAATCCAATTTCAAATACGAGAACATTACAGACGCATTAGTACCCTAAACTCTTATGAACAACTATATTATTTACAGTATAATACTTACATAAAGCGTTTGATAGAACTTGTTAGCAAAGTAAATAGGCGATTTAAGATAAAGACGACGTCGGATGAGGAAGCGATTACCGAAAGATGAATCTCCTTGAGATGAACCATACGGATATAATCTACTTGCTACATAGTAAAAAAGTTTGATAATTAATACGAGATACTGTTATTACTGTAATCAATGCGATACGGTAAGGATTGGACTTTATATCTGGACTATAATATAATGTACACGTATTTATGATTGCTTAATAAATAAAATAAAAGGAAGAAATTATCTTGACTTACGTATGATACTTTATTAGAGTTAAATACTGGATTAATATAGTTCTGTTTTATAACTTACGTGGCGGCGTAGTGGCTACATTGGGAAATGTTCCAGTCGTTGCCGTTTGGTTAGTCGGTGTTGCAGTAACAGTAGTTGCTGATTGTTGCGTTGTAGATATCGTTGGACTTGTAGAAGTAGAGAAAGTTTGAGAAGTAAAGCTACTGGAAGATGATACTGAAGAGGATGGTAGAAGTGAGCTAGTAGCTGAATGAATAGTAGACGATTGCTGATAAGAAGAACTTGGAGCAACATAAGTGCTACTTGTTTGGCGTTGACTAGATGAGCTGCTTGGTGGAGTACTTGCACTACTACTTATAGATGGACTTGGTGTTACATAAGTGCTTGAAGATAATTGTTGACTTGGAGCAGTGTAAGTTGAGCTGAATGTCGAGTATGAGCTTGTCGATGAGTGATGGATTAATGAGCTTGAAGTTGCATATGTACTAGAGCTTCTTGGAGTAGTAAAAGTTGAGCTCGATGTTGAATGAGAACTTGTCGACGAATAATGGGTTGACGAGCTTGGAGTTATGTATGTACTAGAACTACTTGGAGCCGTGTACGTCGAGCTCGGAGCCATACGAGTACTAGTCGATGAATAAGTACCAGAACTAGTTGGAGCAGTGTAAGTTGAGCTCGATGTTGAATAAGAACTTGTAAATGAGCTTGAAGTTATATATGTACTAGTCGATGAGTATGTACTTGTACTGCTTGGGGCCGTGTATGTTGAGCTCGAAGTCGAATATAAGCTTGTAGATGTATAAGAATGCGAAGAGCTTGGAGTCGTGTATGTTGAGCTCGAAGTCGAAAATAAGCTTGTAGATGTATAAGAAGTCGATGAGCTTGGAGTTGTATATGTGCTAGTCGATGAGTATGTACTAGAACTGCTTGGAGTCGTGTATGTTGAGCTCGAAGTCGAATATAAGCTTGTAGATGTATAAGAAGTCGACGAGCTTGGAGTTGTATATGTGCTAGAACTGCTTGGAGTCGTGTAAGTTGAGCTCGATGTCGAATATAAGCTTGTAGATGTATAAGAAGTCGACGAGCTTGGAGTCGTATATGTACTAGTGGATGAGTACGTACTAGAACTGCTTGGAGCCGTATATGTTGAGCTCGAAGTCGAATATAAGCTTGTAGATGTATAAGAGGTCGACGAGCTTGGAGTTGTATATGTACTAGTCGATAGAGCTGCTTGGAGTCGTGTAAGTTGAGCTCGATGTCGAATATAAGCTTGTAGATGTATAAGAAGTCGACGAGCTTGGAGTTGTATATGTACTAGTCGACGAGTATGTACTAGAACTGCTTGGAGCCGTGTATGTTGAGCTCGAAGTCGAATATAAGCTTGTAGATGTATAAGAAGAAGTCGACGAGCTTGGAGTTGTATATGTCCTAGTCGATGAGTACGTACTAGAACTGCTTGGAGTCGTGTATGTTGAGCTCGATGTCGAATATAAGCTTGTAGATGTATAAGAAGTCGACGAGCTTGGAGTCGTATATGTACTAGTCGATGGGTACGTACTAGAGCTGCTTGGAGTCGTGTATGTTGAGCTCGAAGTCGAATATAAGCTTGTAGATGTATAAGAAGTCGACGAGCTTGGAGTCGTATATGTACTAGTCGACGAGTACGTACTAGAACTGCTTGGAGTCGTGTATGTTGAGCTCGATGTCGAATATAAGCTTGTAGATATATAAGAAGTCGACGAGCTTGGAGTCGTATATGTACTAGTCGACGTGTACGTACTAGAACTGCTTGGAGTCGTGTATGTTGAGCTCGAAGTCGAATATAAGCTTGTAGATGTATAAGAAGTCGACGAGCTTGGAGTTGTATATGTACTTGTCGACAAGTACGTACTAGAACTGCTTAGAGTCGTGTATGTTGAGCTCGAAGTCGAATATAAGCTTGTAGATGTATAAGAAGTCGACGAGCTTGGAGTTGTATATGTACTAGTAGATGAGTACGTACTAGAACTGCTTGGAGTCGTGTAAGTTGAGCTCGAAGTCGAATATAAGCTTGTAGATGTATAAGAAGTCGACGAGCTTGGAGTTGTATATGTACTAGTCGATGAGTACGTACTAGAACTGCTTGGAGTCGTATATGTTGAGCTCGATGTCGAATATAAGCTTGTAGATGAATAAGAAGTCGACGAGTACGTACTAGAACTGCTTGGAGTCGTGTATGTTGAGCTCGAAGTCGAATATAAGCTTGTAGATGTATAAGAAGTCGACGAGCTTGGAGTTGTATATGTACTAGTCGACGAGCTTGGAGTCGTATATGTACTAGTCGATGAGTACGTACTAGAACTACTTGGAGCCGTGTATGTTGAGCTCGATGTCGAATATAAGCTTGTAGATGTATAAGAAGTCGACGAGCTTGGAGTTGTATATGTGCTAGTCGACGAGTACGTACTAGAACTGCTTGGAGCCGTGTATGTTGAGCTCGAAGTCGAATATGAGCTTGTAGATGTATAAGAAGTCGACGAGCTTGGAGTTGTATATGTGCTAGTCGACGAGTACGTACTAGAGCTGCTTGGAGTCGTGTATGTTGAGCTCGAAGTCGAATATAAGCTTGTAGATGTATAAGAAGTCGACGAGCTTGGAGTCGTATATGTACTAGTCGATGAATATATACTAGTACTGCTTAAAGTAGTGGAAGTTGAGAATGATTGAGATGTAGTATACGAACTTGCTGAAGAATAAGCCGACGAGGCTGTAGTAGATGACACAAGTGTGGAAGCTAGAATGGAATAATTAAAGAAAATATACGAATTATAAACTCATTTACCTTACTGTAATCACACACGAGTACAGTATATTAATTTCAGTGAATTTGGGTCGATTGTGGATTTATAGGGATTTAATATTAATTTTATTGGGAATTAATTTTATAATGGTTACAATGAAGTATTTTCATTACATAAGATCCTTCCTGAAGACTGCAA